AAGCTGAGTGGAACATGTGGTTCAGCTGGTTCTGCGAATGTGGCCACCAGGTGTGGTCAGGTCCACCAGAGACCACTGTTACAGACTAATAGACCTTCTTGGCCCAGGGTCTTTAACTGAACTGTACCCAGTGCTGGAAGAGCTGTGACATGTGATTACTTGACCCAAGCCAGGACCTCATCTGCAGCAGACTCAGGATTTGTGCCTAAAGGGGACTGCGTGCTTCTGGACCCAAAGCTCATCCCATTGCTAGGGAATAGTTTGTTTCTGAGAACTGGTGGCATGAGTTTAGTCATTTTGTAGGGAACAAACATTAAACAAAACTCAGTGAATGGCCATGTAGAAAGGAAAGGCAAACAAAGAAAGGAAGTCAAGCAAACTGGTTTTAGTCACTTGCAGCCATTCTTTCCTGAGTTTTTTTATTCCTTCTTGTGAGAGCCATTGCTCCCACCAGGACAGCTTTGTGATGTAGATGATGAAGAAATCCAGAGTTCTTGTCCAGTCTCTTAGGTCCTCTGTTCTGGTGACAAAGAACTAGCTTTTGGACTGAGGTTTCAGAAACTCCAGGAATCAGCAGTTTCTTGGGATTCAGCCTCTGGCTCCTCCAGAAAACAGCACTTTCCTCAGTCTTTACCTATACCATAGCTCTCCATCATGTTCTTGGCCAGCACAGAGACCTTTATTTTCTCTCTCCCATTTCTTGTTTCTCCTGGGCCTTTCATGAATGTAGGAATTTCCATTTGTTCTTCACTCTGACCAGCCTTTACCTTTTCATGACAAATAAGTAGAATACCACAAGGTGGTTGGAAAAATGTAATAGACATAGTATCCCTTTGTGCAATCCTAAACACCTGGGCCTGAAAGATCATCTTTGTAGCTTAGAACTTCACTGGAATTTTGGTCATTTTTTTCCCCTTCTTTGCTGGGGAGCTGGAATGCTGGAACATCTGTTCCCTCCTGTCATTGCACACACGCTGTTGGAATTTTTGCAATGAAAACATAATGGTATGGATCTGGCAGCTTGGATTGTGCAGCTCATTCAGCAGATGCCAATAACAGCTGAATATTAGATATTATTAAGAAGAAGATAAAAAATAAAGCTGTGAGATAGCATATGTTGGCTGGTAGCAAATATCTTCCAGATGTTTGGAAGGATGAGATTCAGTGTGGGAGTTACTTTGATAAAACTATTGCACCATTGCTGCCAGTTCAGTGTATGTATTCAAAACAGAAGGATTTTGGAAGCCCTTGTGAGACCTGTACCAACACTGAGTAGTAAAGGTCAGCACATATGGTCCTAGTCAAGAGCCCACACCTATTGTGGCACTGAGATTTGCTGCACAGCAAGGCTAGGATCCCTGTGGCAGTTTAAAGCTATGAATATGCCCTGCATTTTTCTACCTCATCAAGAAATTTAGAAGGATGAAGCAGACCTTATTTTTCTCATAGTGCTGGGTGCCCGAGTTGGCTTCATCTGGCCTAAGAAGAGCCAGTGGCTGCAATGCCCATGCAGGAGATGGCAAAGGTGCCTCACGTGGGCACTGACTGCTGAACCTACCTCTGAAACCTATGAGCTAAGGTCTTGTTGATGTTTCAATAATGATGTGTCCCAGCACCCTCCTTCCACCTGCTTTGAGTCATCCTCACAAGAAGGGATGAGTAACCACCAACACCTGTGGAGGGCAGTGCCTGTGAAGCACCTAAGATGATGCAGTAAGACAAACACAGGCCAGCACTTGGGCACCTTGCCTGCAGCACCTACCCCTGGGTGGTGGAGGTGGGTGGAGAGGGACCAGCCTGTGCCCAGCAAGGAGGAAACCTGACCCCTGGGAGTTGGATCCCAAACAAGCAGCACTGTCAGCACTGTAAAAGTAAAGAGCAGAGGAGAAACAGTCAAAAAAAAAAAAAAGGCCTCCCCCCCCAACCCGAAAAAACAAAAAAGGAAAAAAAATTCCACAAAATAAAAAAATATTTAGTAAAATCTTGCTTAATACTGGGGGCATTTCATCATTTTTATGATCAGATAGCCTGCAGGGAAAATTCTCAGCTAGAGAAGGTCTCTGACCTTACTGACAGAGTTCCCAGGTGGTGTCACAGGCAGCAGTGCACGTTGTATGGCCTTTGTGCCTCACAGCCCTCTGGGGGGAGGAGGGGGGTCACAGCATAATTCCAATGGGTCCCAGCAGCAGTTTCACTGTACTATTGGTTGTTCCCTTCCGATGGAGGATTTTTATTTTCCCTGCCAGCAACAGCTTTGTCACTGCTGTTCTTTTGGCTTGTGTAATTGGCATTTAATTGGATTTACAAATAGAGGGAAATTTGTGACTCCCTGAAGATAGACACTAGCTGCTCCATCAAGGCAAACAGCTGCAAGGGTTTGGGATGAGCAAAACTCAGGTTTGGTAGGAACTCTTAGGTGGTTTATCTGTGCCTGCACAGATTTCTGGTGTTATCTGAGGTGCTGGAGAGTGTATCCCACCTGCTTACCAGCTGCGATATGAGACTAGTGGGGTTCTCCCATTAGGTGCATCCTGCCACCTCTGAAGGTGTCTGGCTACTGTAGGGTGCTGGAGGTAGCACTGCAGCCTTCTGCTTGAGCACCTGACTCTCTCTGTGAGTTCTGCACAGCAGCATAAGGGATTGGGCTTCTCTCCTCTTTTGTGGAAGAGTTGTGGCACTTCCCAGAAGGAAGGCATATAGCCCACAGCAGGTACCAGTGAAATGCTCCAACACCCCTCAGCAAACAGTAGCAGGGTATCCCAGCATCAGGATGGGTGGGCAAACACCCAGGGCTTGATGCTTGTCCTGCCAGCACTGTGGGCTGTGCCTGCCACAGAGGTTTTGGAGGAGAGTGTCTGTTTAACCAGACAGAGGTGTGGTGTGGCAGCTTAGGGCAGAATGTGTTTGCAAGTCCCTAGTAATAAAGGAACAAAAAAGGAGAAGAACAGGTGCCCAGACTTCGTTATTGCAAAGCCTTTGGCAATTCAGACACAGTAAATCTTTACCTCTTCCCATGGGCTCTCCAAGGCACCTTGTTTGGTTTCTGTTGAGCTGGTTCCACTTGGAAATAGTCCCTAGCTGTTGGCTGTCATAATCAGCTGGTGGCACTGTGTGCTGCTGGCAGCTATTGCTGCCTCCAAGGACATTGCTAGAGACAGATGTAACCAATATCTTTGGCATCTTCTTGGGTGCTGGACCACAGCAAGGTCAGTCTATGTGACTAAACTGACTAATCTGCCATTAGTCCTTAATGACCTCCTTCTTACTGTGCCTCAGTATAGGATCAAGGTATACATCCTGGAGTACAGTAATTCCATGCTTTCTTTGTTCATGCTGCCCTCTATCTCAAATGGATTTTTTTATCTTTCATTAGATGATCTCAGCCATTAATTCCCTCCAGTTCTCACCCTTCTGCAGCCTCCCCAGTCTTTGCAGGCTGGCTGTGAATGCAGCCTGGGCCAAGTCCAGCACTCCTGAAGGGAGGTAATCAAAGGAGAGGGGGTCAGCAAAGTACAGATGTGTTGAGCCCCCCTCTGCAGTGCCTGAGCATGCACTCAGCAGGAAAGGTTGTGGGTTTAAACAATCAGTGTGCTTAATCCCTGCCCTGGGATTAAAATGAGTTTTTCTGATGAGAAAAAGCAACAGTGGAGGAATCCAGCTTCCAGTTGCAATCCAGAATGCATGGCTGTGTTTATGGATGCCCTGAGAGGATGGGGATTAGTGTGACAAGAGATGAGGCAGAGGGGTTGGTTTGCAGCAGGAAGCTGTGTGCTGCTTGGGTGAGGAGCTAAGTGCTACCCTACCACCCTCAGGGTCCTGGGGTTAGGGAGCCGGCTGGGTCACCTGGCTCTGCCTCAGTGGGGGCTCCCACCAGGCTGAGTGCAGCACCTCTACTGCACACTCAAACTCAGCTCCACTGGGAGCCTCCAAAAAGGGCAACCACTACTGGTTCTATCATGTCTTGGCTCTCGACATGCAACATCTTTTAGACTGGCACTGTATTTCACCGACCTCTGGGCTGGGGAAGTTGTCACATGCTCTCTTGTCTTAGCAGGTCTCCAGTTTTCCCTAAGGCAATCCCCGGACTTTCCATAAAAACAGACAGTGTGATGTGATGACTGATGTCTCTCAGTTCAACTAACTCACCCTGTGATGTTTCTATGTGTTTTTCACTAAAACCCTAGTGGGAAGGGACATGTTCTAGTAGTTGCATGAAACAAACTAACTAATATTTGACTGTATCTGAAAGTTTCCATTCCAGTGTGAGAAACTGCCTTGCTATTTTCTTGCTTGGGTGACTTTGTGACTGTTGTGAGGTTTCACAGGTAAATCACAGCCTTGCCTGCAGTGACAGCGGATCCCAGCAGGAGCTGATGGCCACTGCACCAAAAGAGGCAGAAAATGCTATTGGCTTGGAGGAAATACACGCAGAGAGAAAAGAACCACCGAAAGGTGGGTTTGTATTGACAGGACTAGAAATTTGGCTCCTTGTCTGGCTCGGGTAGAGGGAGAGTCTTCAGTTGTGCCACTCCAGCCACTTAAAACCTCTGTAGATGGAGCTACAACATCAGCATCCCATGCTCCCATCCCACCACACCTATCAGGCTGGAGGCTGCTGCCTATGGCAGTGGGAAGAGCTGGCTGGCTTGGCTTTTCTCAGCCTCTGCTTTGTGTAAACATTTTATTATACTGGTAATTTGAGGATTAATTTCCTTGGAATAATTTTTTAAATGTTACCCTGTTTCAAAAGCATTTCAAATAGTACAAGGCTGTTCTTCCTCCATTTGTACTGGCTGCTGATTCAGCAACCCCCTGTTGAGCCCTGCCACCAGGACATCCAGGGCCTGGTCAGTGGATATAAAGCTGGTAGATGTTTCCAGGCTTTTTCCTGGTGCAGTCCCACAGAAGCATGAGAAGTATTTTTTTTTATGAAGAGGAGGTACAATTTGACTGCTGACAGGTTTTGTGTCTTAATTTTCTTTTTATGTTTAGGACAAAAGACATTTACAGTGGAAGAAGCTGTGGAAACCATTGGGTTTGGGAGGTTCCATATCATGCTTTTCCTCATAATGGGCAGCACTGGGGTAGGTATCTGCAACCATCTGTGGTAGCCTGGAAAAAGCTTCCCTCTCATTTTTCTCATTGCCATGAAATAACAACCATAAGTACATACCACTGCCAGCCCATTTTTTCCATACATACATTCTCAAGCAGGATTTCTGCTATTTTCATAATTGGTGAAAGTAGATTTTGGTCCCATTGATATCAGACCCATTTCAGGGCAAAGCTGAGCAGGTTGGCCCAGAGCATCATGGTTTGTCCCCTGTTCTGGAGCACTGTCAGGGCATATCTTCAGTTAGGGCCTGAAGGTTGGTTCAGCTTCACAGTTGCATTTTTCATGTTATCCCCATGGCACCCAAATCCTCTGCAATCTGGCTCAGAAGGCCTGGCATCTTCTCACCCCTGGCTACCTGACAAATTTCCTAACTTTCATGGTCTTGGGTTGTGTATCTATTTTGGGAACTTGGGCAAAAGCTGGAGGCCAGGCTGGCCTAAAAATATAACAAGGGTCTATCCATGAGGATTGCTGCAGCTGAGGTGAAAAAGTCAGAAGCTGTGTGTAAACAGTCAGCTCATTCCTAACTGTGTAGGGCACACAGCCAGTGGAGCAAGGGAACTCTTAAAAACAGTTTTAAGAGTTCATGTCAGATGCCTGAATCCACAGCTAGATACCCAACGAAGCAGCTTGGTTTCCAGAGATAGTTGAAGATCTTCTAATAACCCAGATAGGTAAAAATCTTCTCTGCCAAGGATGGCTCTTTCCAAACTTCCCAGATACACAGTATACCTGTACCTTCTTTCTATGTGTGCCTTTCCCTCTTCCTCTCCCTGTCACCAAGGTCTTCCAGGTCAGGCACAGAGCTCAGACCACTGTGGAGGCACCATGCTTCAGAGGACTGTTCTGACATGGTGGAACTGCCATGGCTGCAGGCTTTGTAGGACTGAGAGAATTTTCCCTGTGGGCTTCTGTTGCAGAGGATAGATAGATATGATTGTTATCTTAGCTAGCCGAATGTCACTTCTACCCTTGGTAGATATGATTGTTATCTTAGCTAGCCAAATGTCACTGGCTTCTTTTGGCTTCCCTTCTTCCTAACACACACACTTGTTCCCAAAGGTGGCTGAAGCCATGGAGATCATGCTGATAGCTGTTGTGTCCCCTCTCATCCGATGTGAGTGGCAGCTCCAAGACTGGCAGGTGGCTTTAGTGACAACAGTGAGTGACTCATGTTCCTCCCCAGAAAGGTCATCCACCATGTGGTCATAGTCATAGGTACCACCACGGGTTTTGGAAAGCGCATTTCCCAGCAAACCAAACAAATTCCTAGGGCCTCTTTACAGGGACAAGAACAGTGCCACAACTGTGGACATCAGAAATGAAGCTGATGAGAGCAGATGTCCATGCCCACAGCAAGTGGACAAAGCAAATCCCCACTTCCACGTTCTTATTTTGAAATCCTGCCACCCACCCCCAGCTTTGAGGGTTGCAGCAGTGAGTGCCTACACAAAGGAAGCCATCCCCTGAAAGCCTCTCCCTTGTAGTTCTGGGTGCCACAGTTCATCCTGCTGCCCTGAGAACACACAGCTCACCTGCAGCTCAAAGAGCAGAGCTGCCCGTGTAGCTGGAAATGGGCCCTCCACAGCTGTGTTCCAATTCCCCGCAGATGGTGTTTTTTGGCTACATGGTGTTCAGCATAGTGCTTGGGCTCCTGGCTGACCGGTATGGCCGCTGGAAGGTGAGTGACTGCCGGGGGCTGTGTGTCCTTTTCCTGTGCTCCACAGGAGCCAGGCACCTGGCTGAGCCTGTGCTTTAATAACCCTAATTCCTGCCCTTTTGCAGATCCTGCTGCTCTCCTTCCTCTGGGCAGCCTATTTCTCCCTGCTGACCTCGTTTGCCCCATCCTACATCTGGTTTGTGTTCCTGCGGGCCATGGTAGGAGGTGGCGTGTCAGGCCACGCGCAAGGGTAAGGCTGTGCAAGCCACCTTCCCAAAGAAGGTAACGGGGTGGCTGGAAGGGGAAAGGGGACCAAATTCCCACATCACCTTGAAACAAAAAGCCATTCTGTAATCACTAAATCTCAGTCAATTGACCTAACTTGCAGTTCCCAAGGACTCCTGAGGCCTGGAATAGAGGGGGCAGCTGGTTTACATTACACTGGTGACAGAGGGATTATTAAGAACAATGTAAAAACAATTAGACAGGTAACAAATGAGTAAAAGCTGCTTCCTCTTTAAAAAAAAAAAAGTCACAACAATTCTACTTAAGTAGAAAATTATTTTTTAATTATATAAAGCGTTCCCACTGAAATTAAGTTTTTGTCTTGGGGCAGAAAGGAGGATGTGGGGAAGAAAAATTCACAATATTAACGACCACTTCACTGGTCTGGAAAAACAGGGGTTTTTTTGTTGACTCTCTTATTGAAGAAAATGAAACATTTCAGCACCATCCATGGTTCCTCAAAGCCTGGTTGATGCCCACAAAGGAAAGCCCTAAAGTGGTCACATTGACCCAAAAGCCCTTTGCTGAAGGAAAGGACATGGAGGAGAGAGGTGCTATTGCGAGAAGGCACCAGAGTCATGCATCTGGTGAGCTGCTGGCACAGCCTCCCTCCCAGGAAGGCCCCCATTCCCTGACCATGGAGGCTGCTCATGAGTCTCATGGAAGAAAATTCAACATTTTATAAAACACTTCACTGGCTGAGACAGATGGAGCCACTGAGGGTCTCTTCCCACCTCTCTCTCTCTGTCCAGCTAAGGAAACACAATTCACACTGGGGACCTTGAGAGATGCCTGTGCCACAAGCCCCCTGTGCCAAGGGCACTCAACCATTTAAAAAGTGGAACAGAATTCTCCTATTTCATGGAAAAAAACGTTTACTAAAATGTTCATTTCTATGAACATATCTATGCTTGTGCTGACACCTCAGTCACCCATAGGTTTCCTGATGTGCAGACTGCAGTGTTTATTTACTTGTATCCCACAGCCACAGCCTGGAAAGGATTCGTGGCTTGTATTTCCCTTGCATATAATTTGGTGCTGGAGTAGGAGAGAGGCATAATGGACAGGGATTCCTTGTCTCTGGGTGCTCACGGTGGAAGAGGAATGGTATTCATTGTATGAGTTGAGCTGAACTGTTACTTGATTTGTATGTAAATTCTCATTACAACTGTATTTCTGCTTTTTTTTTTTCCCCTTTTGCTAGACTTATCATAAAAACTGAATTTCTGCCCACCAAATATCGGGGATACATGTTGCCCTTATCCCAGGTGAGAACATGAAAACATCACTGTTTCTTTTAGCTCTGAGTCCCAGTAGATTTGTCCCACCACAGTTTGGAAGGCACATCTCCAGCACATCAGCACTTCTCCCAGACTAAACCCTCTTGTCTGGGTCTAAGCAAGCGTTCACTGCCTCCTGTACCTCAGAGTGTGGCATCTGTGTTATTAAAGATGTACACAGGAGAGACACAGTATCTTCTCTAATTATTTGATGCTCCAAACATTTTATAGGGACTTTGAGTGATGGCTGACACCCAGCCTCTTGGCTGTCCTATTGACAATGTGGCTACCGGATCTAATGGGGCCAGCTGGTGGACTGGCAGGCACTGGAGCTGGTGGCATTCCCAGCCCACTCCAAGAGGTGTATCCCCTCTCCACCCTATTTGGACCCCCAGAGATAACAAGTGGTTTATGTAGTGACTTTCAGGTGAGGTCCTAATCTGCTCATCTCCCTGCTCAGGTTCTGCCAGGGGATTTGCATAGGAGGGTTAGCACAGATAGTCCCAAATTTGGCCTGATACATGCTGGGAGGATTGTACCCACTTGCTAGGTCATTGCTTACTGCAGACTTCTGCAGTGGGCAGTTGCTGTATGTGCAGATGATCAGTGGTGACACCTCTGAGTGCACAAATTCATCCCACTGCTGAACCAAACTCTTCTTGTCAGGGATAACTTACTTTTCACTGCAGCCTCCTTGATCCCAGGGCATCATTACTGAAGTGTCATCAGAAACACAAAGATTTATGGAAGAACAATCTTGTATTTCTCCCAGAAATTTGTTATTTCTGCCCACAGGCTATTCATGGACTTGCTGCAGCTTTTGTGATTTGTGTTATCTGAGCTCCCTTGGGTGGTCCCCTGGAAAGGGATGTGTCTCCTAATGGCAACAAGTGAACTTCAGAAAGGAATGTACTTGCAGATCAGAGGCCAGATTTGCTGTTGGTATAGCTGGGCATTGAATCTACTGGAGAGCCACCAACTTTCAGCAATGGAAATCTGGCCTGATTTTTCCTTCTGAGCTTGTCAATCTCCTGCTTCCCTGAAGAGACCTAGACAACAGGAAAATTCATGAGCATTAGCAGAGAAGTGACTGAAAAGACAAAAGCAGTGGTTTTAAGTACAGCTGTATCCACAGAATTTTTTTTTTTACCTGGAGTTAATTAATTCTCTGTCCCTTCCCAAACTCTTGCCTTTCCCTTTTTCCTCCCAACCCAAGCCCAGCTTCTCAGCCAGCCACAAGATGGCTCAGTTGAACCTTGGCATTCCCTAGCACAGTTCCCCATCTATCCACAGAACTGGGCCAGAAGGGTAAACAAATCATTGCCATGTGTTCATGTTCTAACCCCTCTCTTTCCCTTGGAAAGGTGTTTTGGTTGGCAGGATCCTTGTTAATCATTGGCCTGGCATCAGTGGTGAACCCAACCATTGGCTGGCGATGGTTGATCAGAATTGCCTCCATCCCTGGCATCCTTCTCATCCTGGTGTTCAAGGTAGGAAGATCTCTGCTCTCCACTCCCTGCTGTACTGCCATCGCCCTGATGTCTCCCCAGGCACCATTGCCCTCCACCCCCTTCATCCCCAGCTCTTCTTGTGTCCTCTTTTCTCCTCTTCTGTCCTCTCACATAGTGGCTTGGTAAGGTCCTGAAGTCCTGACGGGGCTGCAGACCATCTTCAGGGGAGATGCCACCATGATGATGTTGGCCTGGCTTTATTGGTAGCCCTCCAGCAGCCCAGGTTCCAGTGTCCAGCCTGCCAGCAGTACTCAGGGATTGCAGTGACGGGCCAGGCACCAAGAAGAAGACAGACTACATAGTATATGAAAAAAATGACAAACAATAACTTCAGTCTAATGCTGGGCACAGCACACTCTCTTCAGTCTTAACATTTTCTAGGACTGAGGAAAGTAACCTCAGTAAACTGTTCACAGTGTCAGGGAAAACCACAATTTCCCCAGGTATCCTGGGGATATTTTATTCAGAAAACCCATGAGAACCATCATTGTCTTGGACATGAGAACCATCTGATTTGTGGAGGGTGATGTGGAAAATCCCTGCTTACAGTGCTCATGAGCACTGCAGTGCTGAGCTGTGGCTGGTGGAGTCTGTAGAGATGTAAAAGCTCTTCCTGCAGCACAAGTCCATCTGGGGTGCTACCTGGGCAGGCAAATATAAGGTTGCTGTGAGTGTACACTTATACAGCCTGGATGTTTTGTTTCTCTGATTATTTTTGCCAGAAAAATTGGATAGCTGAAGTTTGTAATCTGGGGGGAAAAGTAAAGACAGAGTTAATATACATACCTTTAAAAAAGTGGTCTTTAATTCCTATTTGAGTGAAATAGATATAATTGTTTATCATTTAATAGCACCATTTAATAAAAAACATATTTTATTTTGGAAAGAGCACCAAATGCTAGTAACTAGTTACATTTTAATCACTTCTTCCTCTTTATTAAAATGGCCTTGTTGTGCCTTCCAAGACTTTTGCTTCAGCAAGTAATATGTGCCTCATCTCATTTTAGAATGTCAATTAATTTAGGATTGTTTTTGTTAAACCTGTCTCTTTGGCTTTCACCTTTCATAAGCGCTTGACCCAAATGGCTCAGTGGCATGACCAACAAATGGGTTTGTTGGGCAGGGTGAGCCCCTGGGGGGAATGGGGGGCTGGGGCACACGGAGCACCCCAGGGCATGTCTGGGGGAAGGGCAGGCAAAGGGCTGCTCCAGCCTATGGAGTGCCCTGTGCCGACCTGAGCAGGCTCCTAGGTGTGATGAGAAGCTGCGAGTAAGACAAGAGGTGCAGAAAGGCTTCCTGCTCTGCTTCCAGTTCATCCCGGAGTCGGCACGGTACAACGTGTCCACGGGAAACACGGGGGCTGCGCTGGCCACGCTGCAGAGGATAGCCAGGATGAATGGGGCGGCCATGCCAGAGGGGCAGCTGAGGGAGCCTGCCAAGGTAAGTCCAGGCTGTCCAGCCCATCCATCCCAGGCAGGGCCGCCGGCATCTGGGCTTCAGGGAGGGAGCGGGACTGCCAACCACATCTTGCTCTGCCTCTCTCGTCCTCCTTGCCTGATTCTTTTCCGAACAACTGCTGAAAGCAATGAAGAAGATGTCAGTTTTCTTGCCTTCAAAATGGAATAGAATTTTCTGGGATTGTTTTCTTTTTCAGTTTGTGTTCGCTCAGAAAAGTACTGGACTAAGAAAATAGTGGCTTCCTTTACGACAAAATAGACTACTGGCAAAGCATGCCATTCCTTATTGCCCGCCCATCCCGCAGGGGTGTCCCCTCTGCCATGAGATCTGGGAACTGTCCCTTGGGGCCTCTCTCAGGGCTGTGAGTGGGTAGGCTGCAAGGATGCCTGCCATGAGGTCATCCCAGTGCTCCCAGAGGCTTCTCCCAGCCCCTGGCCTGGCTTGTCCACTGTGTCCCAGGACCCCAGATCCCTGAGTGTGGAGCCACAGCCCAGCAGGAGAGACCATTTCACAGATACCACCACCTGTACCTGAGCAGCTCAGGAGTGGATTGCTGCTGGACTGAAATGCCCAAAAATGTGTGTGGGTGCTGCGGGGGGAGGGGGGGGGGCAGTCTCCCCCCAGACTTCTCCCCCTCTCACCCAGTCTGGGCCTGGCTGACTGGTGGATGGGAGGACTTAGGTGGCTCCTTTGACACCCAGGACAGGAAGATAAGACAAATCCATTGTTCAGGGCCTCAAAATTATTCAGTTCTTTTAAATCCCTTTCCTGGATCTTTTTCCTGCGTGTTCAATCCTGCAGGCACCAAGTATTGTCCTTAGCAATTCATGCAAGATGGTGCTATTCTATTGGAATTAGTTAGGATTAAAGCTTCCCTGAAATTTAATTGAATTTATGTAATGGACCCACACTGGATGTGGGAAGGGCTTTTATTAGTTTTGCTCTCTCTTAGGCTTAACTAATGATGAGGAAAATAAAAATAAAGTCAACCCACACCATCCCTGTGAACTTGTCTCCCCTTGGTGGTGGGACCCTGGGGGGCAGCAGGCCTGGCAGGATCCCCAGTGCTGGCTAGTCTCTGCTCACTGGCACTTCAAGGCCTCCCAGAAAGATGTATGTGTCCAAAAGTTAGCTTCACAGGCAGAGCAGCACGCAGGGCAGTGGGAGCTGACAGAAGCCCCAGCAATGCTGGCCCCCCAACAGCAATCAGGGCCCCTTCTGGCACTGGCACTGTCACAATGGGACCAGACTGCACAGATCTGGGGGGTCCTTTGGGGCCAGGAGAGCTCAGGATGTTCTTTTCTCCCTTCCTCCCTTCTTTGCACTGCAGCTTCCTGTGGGTATCTTTTGGGAAGCAGGGCTTTTCTCTCTGGAGGTTTGATGGGTGCTGTGTTGCACCATCTGTGGCTCTGTCTGTGCCACAAGCAGCCTGGGGACAGGGGGAGAACAGGAGGGCCTGGTGTGCCAACTGCTCTCACAGAACACTTGCTCCAGTATAAAAGATGCCTTTATATAAACTTCTATTGCTATTGTATGATTTTCAGGAAAGAAGGGGAAGATTCAAGGACCTCATCCACCCCAAATACCTCAGAACCACTTTGCAGATATGGATCATATGGTAATTTTTTTTGTTTTGCTTATCAGCTCATTCTCTTGGTTGACAGTGTGCAGGGAGCAGAAGGCTCCCAATGAGTCTGCCTTTAACAGGACACCACTCTGCCTCTGATGGTAGCTGCAGATCCTTGGCAGCTGGAAGAATGGATCACCATAGGCTTGTCCTGTTTCAGACCACACCTCAGACACCCTGACTGGTTGCTGTTAACTTAGGGAGAAAAGGGCTGGACTTCCAGGATGGTGCTATGAATCTTTCCTCAGGACAGGGCAGCTCCTGGGAGCCAGGGGAGAGCTACAGGGCAGCGCCCACACCTGACTGCAGCTGGACCAGCTGTGTGCCTGCAGCTCTCCGTCCCTGCCTGGGGAAAACTTGTTCTCCCTAAGGATGGCCAAAGGGCTCTGACAGAAACACATTCACCATTACCAGTGCTACTCACTGGGGGAAATTAAGATTGAGGCGACAGGTTTCATATGCAGTGATCCCAGCAGCTGTGTGCAAGGGTAATACATGTTTCATTGGCTTTGCTGTCTAGAATGGAAATGTATAAATAATATGTCTGTGGGAACTCATTGACCCAAAATGCTGTGAAGTCAGGCCTTGAATTTTTTATATGTTTTTCCCCTTGACTTCTATGAGTGTTATGAAATATCCTTTTGGGTTTTTGTCTTTCTTTGTCTCCTAGTCATCCCAGGAGTTCCTAGTATGTTCTCAGGTCTGCATTCCCATGCCCCCTAGCCTGCCTTCCCAGGTGGCCCAGATTCTGCTGATCATTTCTGAAACTGCCAGGGGGGATAAAAAAGTGAAAATTACTTTTCAGCCTGCTTATGATCAGGTGTATTCTGAATTACTTGATAATGACAAAACAAGGCTGCCCTCACCTCACCCAGAGGGTCACAAGTCCTGCCAGCAAACCTGCTCCAGCATGGGCTCCTCTCTCTATGGACCCACAGGTCCTGTCAGGAGCCTGCTCCAACATGGGCTTCCCATGGGGTCACAGCCTCTTTCAGGCATCCACCTGTTTTGGCATGAGAACCTCCAAAGGCTGCAAGTGGATCTCTGCTCCACTGTGGATCTCTGCTCCACTGTGGACTTCCAAGGGCTTCACGGACACAGCTGCCTCACCCTGGTCTGAACCAGGGGAATCTGTTCTGGCACCTGAAGAACCTCCTGCCTTTCATTCTTTACTGACTTGGGTGTTTGCAGCAATGTTTCTCACACATGTTCTCATCTCTTTCTCTGGCTGCTGTTGCTCTTGCACCTTTTTTTTCCATTTCTAGCAAATGTTATCCCTGAGGCACTACCAGTATTGCTGATGGTCTCAGCCTTGGTCAGCAGCTGGAGTCAGCTGGCATCTGGCATGGAGGATGCTTCCAGAAGCTTCCCACAGAAGCCATCCCTGTAGTCCCAACCAACTAGCAAAACCTGGCCATGAAAACCCAATACAAAGCTGAGCTATGAGCTGGGGTGAGGTTTACTGAGGAAGAGCAGTGCCTAGACATAGGTAGGAGGGGAGTGCCATGGGACAGGTGAACGCCAGAGCCACTTCTCTGCTCAGGCTAAGGGGTTCCATCATGCAGAGCTGGTGCAAGCAGCAGCAGAGATTCCAGGGCATCCAAAACCTGCTGCATTTGAGTTTCCTCACCTTCCCCATCATAGCTGCACCTCACTGCAGCATTTCTCCCCACAGGCTTGGCATAGCTTTCGCTTATTACGGCGTCATCTTGGCCAGTGCCGAGTTGCTGGAGCGGGACCTTGTCTGTGGCTCTGCAGCCCCACCGCTGCAGGACTCCAGTGATGACTCTGAGGAGAGCCACAGCCCCTGCCACTGCCGCCTGTTTGGGCCCGCTGCTTACCAGAGCATGATCATCAGCACAGCCGGGGAGATCACACGTAACCTCTTCCCCCATCCTTGCCCTGCCATTGCCCTCTCACAGTGCTCACCACAAAGGTTCGAGCTGTGGGTGCACTTGGCGGCAGGGGCCAGCACGAACTGGGCACTGCTGGCAGCTCCTGGGATGCAGACCATGAGCCTGTGGCACCTGGCTCAGCAGGGTGGGACACACCTCAGGCCCTGGTGTTTGGCTGGGTTGTGGGCAGAGGGAGCAAAACCACCCAGGCCTGTGCTGCTCACCCAGCCGTGCCTTCCTTGAATGGCTCAGGACAGACACTGGTGTTCTGCCTCAGCACAGCCAATTTCAGAGAAGCACAGGCTTCATCATCTCAGGGGAAGGTGAAACAAAAGGGACACAGGGGCAAATCACAAGCTTTGCATGCAGGAAGAGAATGATAGGGTTTATGCATTTTACAGGATGTTAGTAGGCATTGGGCACACAGACATGTATCTTTGAGTCACACTGTAAGGTTGGTAGGCATTGGGCACACAGACATGTATCTTTGAGTCACACTGTGTAAAGTCTGTCAAGGCAGACAATCATTGCAGTTAGATCATCGAATGGCTTTTTATGGTTTTCCTTTTTATTTCCAGTAAATCCTGTGAACATTCTCAGCATCAATTTCCTTGGACGACGTCTAAGCCTGTGTATCACCATGGGATGTACAGCTCTATTCTTTCTTCTCCTTAATATCTGCACCTCAAGGTACTCTGGCTCAGACTGTAGGTCTTGTTTGAGGGTATGAAATTCTGAGAGGAGGATCTCTGGTATTCTCAGTTCACCAGTCTGGCAGGCCAGTAATTTTTGTAAGTTTGAGAAAAGCCTCTGACTGGCTCTCCTTTTCCTGGGAAAGCTGTGGCAGCAGATTCTGTGGTGCAGTGGTGTGCAGAAGGATTCACTTGTACTACTGAGCCCACATGGCTTCCCCTAAGCATCCAACAAGCTGCTTTCTAGCACAGTCCAGAAAATTTTAAAAATGTGTAAACAACATGCATTGGAAAGAAGTTATATTTTTCATTCACTTTTTTCCCCATTTGTTTCACTCTGGTATCTCTGCAGATGCTGGTCAGTGACATTAACTCTGTTCCACATTACTTTCTCTCCAGTGCAGGCATGGTTGGCTTTCTCTTCATGCTGCGTGCCTTGGTTTCAGCCAACTTCAACACCATCTACATTTACACAGCAGAGGTGGGTTCTCATTGAGGTATGTTGAGCTACTTGGAGGCTTCAAATACCATTTGTGTATACTCAGGAACACTGCCTGCTAGTTTATGGACTAGTTAAGAGTCACCTTCCTAGAGCTGTGTATCTCGGTCATCTTGGCCAGTGTTTTCATATGCAAGATATAAGAAGGAAGTAGAAAATCAGCTTGGAGATGACAGGAGTAGATGGAAGAGGAGTGCCCTATTAAACCAACTGTCGCTCAGCTCTTATAAAACATTTTTTGAGGATGTTTGGTATCACTATCTTCCAACACCCACAATCTTTCCCCTATTTAACCCCCATAGTGAGAGAACAGACTACCACTAAAAGGAACATTTTCCAGCACTTAAGGGGCTGTTTGAGGTAGTATATGGGGTTATATGTAGGATCCTTTTCACTTAATGGAAATTGCTATGTTCTGTCTGAAAAACGTTTTAATCCTTTAAAGAGCTTTTCCTTCATACAACTTTGGAGCCGTGAGTTCTGCAAGTATAAATTGTTGGGCGTTTTGTTGTTCTTTTTTTTAAAAACAATTGTATGGTGTTAAATGGATTTGCTTGTTAATTGACTAAAGCTATCCAAAGCAAACAGAAGTAACTCCCTTGCAATTTTAATAGTGCACTGTAATATTTAAATTAGCACCTGGCTTTAATACTACAATTTTAGCAGTGTTGAATAAGTTGCTGTTGATGTAAAGACCGCTGCTTTAACAGCCATACTATAAATCAATTCTACTCACAATTTAATCAACGATCAAAATCTTTTAAGCCAAGTGCCTGGACTCTTATTGAATTAGCTTGCTTGGCCCAGTAATGTATTTAAACAAAGGCTTATATGAGTATACTTGCTAAAATCTGTTGATATTAAGAGGACTAAAAGTTCAGTAAAATTAATATTTAAGTGTTTAATTGGCACAGGTGTTTGGGACATGTGAAAGAAAAATGACACCAAGCACATTCTTCTAAGCCTGAATATTTCGTACTGGGATCTGTTTTTCTTTTTCTTCCTTCTAAACAAAGGTGCTGTTGATAAAAATGAATAGGCAGACTTGAATGCTGCAGACAATATCTTTTCTTCCTGCTTCCCAGATACAGGGCTCAGCAGTGTAAACAGAATTTTTCCTTTAGCACCCAACCTAAACTCTGTGATTTTAATCATAGAGGCACGAAATAAAGTGGAGGTAGTGGTGCTAAACATGCTAAACAAAGGAGAATCACATCCAGCTTTGACTTGCCCTGAAACTTCACTTGGGGGAAAAAAATGAGAGATTTGTAATGGCTCAAGTAAGGCCCAAGGGAGCTTTTATTTCTTTTCATATCTTATCCCACTAGCTGCCATTGATAAAACAATAGGTCTCTCTAATAAAAAAAAAAATTAAAAAGAAAAAGAAAAGATATTGCAGATTGCTGTTGCACTAATCCAATTTATTTATGGCCTTTTTTAGGTTTATCCCACCACAATGAGAGCGCTGGGGATGGGGACAAGTGGGGCAGTATGCCGTGTAGGAGCAATGGTGGCTCCATTTATATCACAAGTAAGAGCATGCTTGAAAATGTTGGTAAACATGGTGCTGAACACTGCCATCAAATACAGAGAGATGTCCCTGAAATTCATCCCAAAAAAGGGAGGATGTAATCAATTCCCTCCCAACCCCATATACAGAGTACTTGGGTGGTCTTTGCCAGATGTAACTTCGGGTAACTCTCATCACAGAGTTCAACTTACTACTATTTGATACTTTCTGAAAGCTCTTAAGGTTCACAAGATACTGTTTTTTTCTATTGTGGAGTCTCTCGGGCACTTGTGACCCTTTGTCCACTCTTAATTGCTAATTAAGTGTCAGCCCCCCACACCAGCAAGCTCCTGTTTGATGTTCTTTGACCTGCAGGTTCTGATGAGCGCTTCCTTCTTGGGAGCCCTGTGTCTCTTCTCCTCCGTGTGCATCATCTGTGCCATCTCTGCAGTCACACTGCCCATCGAGACCAAGGGCAGGGCCCTGCAGGTGGGTACCACCACTCCAGGAGCTCCTGTGGCTCTAAATGCTCTTAGGGACTTGGAGGTGATGATGCAGCCAGAATCCAAACCCAGCTCTCCTGAGGTTTCTCAAGCCTGATAGGCACTCACAGGAATGTGCTGCTGCAGCAGCTTGAAGCACTGTTATCCCAGTTGCCCAAAGCTTTTTTTGTGAAAGAACAAGCCAGGCTGCCAGCCCCAGCCACCTCATGTAAGCAGGTGAGCTTTAGCTTTTGCAAGCCCCTCTTTACATCTCTCTCCAATCCTGACCTGAAGGTGCAGCTTCCCAGGCACATGCTCTGCTCTGCCTATGCTGCAAAGAGAGAGGAACAGCAGAGGGCACCTAAACTACCAAAGTAATTTCTTAATCAAATTCAAGGCCCCTTCATTGGTCCACCAGCTAAACCCTTGTGGTCAGTGTTTTCTGTAAAGCAATTAGCCAAAACACTAAGCCCCAAAGATTAAGGGGGAAAGTTTAAATTCAACAATCTCCCATGTGCAAGTCACACCAGTTTAATTAGAGGAGGTGGTGAGCAGTCCTGTTATTCCAATAAATTCATCTATCCCAGCACAGAGATTTTCATGGCATGCAGGAGCATGGCCACACCACTCTGTGTCAGTCTGTAGTCTGACCTATATAGAATACAAAACCATAGGCTAAGAATAATCCATATTCTTTAGCAGCCCTATTCTTAATAATCCATATTCTTTAGGGCATGGTAGATCTTTGATCAAACTAATTTATGAGGACTTCCAAACCAGACTTTGAAAAACCCATCCCTTTAAACAGAGATTGCCTGTCAGAAGTGAGACTTTTTAGACATATCCAAACACATTATTTTCCATATCCATTCCTGTTGAGGTTTATGTGCATTTTATTAATTTAATGTATTATTTTTTCTTTCCCCCTTTTTAGCAAGTGAAATGAGAGTGAATGTTTGATGTTGGATTGGGTAGAAAAGAAATATAAACCCCTGGAATCTGTCACTTCCTGACTAAGCTGCATTTGATGTTGATTACTTCTCCATACCATTTCCATTATAAAAAAATGCAACCAGTGTAATAGCTATGATTTGTGTAGACAAAAAGTAAATTTCTCAAGGACCTTTCCTTTTTTTATGATTCAATAAACAGATGTTTTCTACCCTTTCTGGGAAGTAAGATGAAGGTTCTTTACTTCTACTGCTATCAATAGTGACACTGCATACATAATATAAAAAAAAAGTAAAATCATTAAGTGAATTGAGGTATAGGGGGAAAAAGACACAAAGTAAATACAGTCTCTGCCATAGCAGCTTGAAAGGATATAGTACTTCCCTCAACTTTTTGTGCAAATACCATCTGCATGGAAGTAGTAAAATTTGGATCTCAAACCGCACTGCAGTGATGATTTCTGATCATTGTTAGGGTGATATTTAAGACCAAAAAATGAAAGGCAAGTCAGATTTTTTCCAAGTGGATTATTTGAAGAGAGAGATTCTCAAACTGTTTACAGCAGACAGGTAAGTAACTGAATGCAGAGTACATTCACCTCTTCTCTCCTCAGCATTTTCCACTGGGAGAACTTGAGTGTGAAGTTGGATCTTTAGGATTTCAAGTTGTGGTGGCAGCACATCTTTATTTTTTTAACTTTCTGCTACTCTAGTGTACACTCATCACACTTCTGTTGCTAGAATGGTCTCCCTCACCCTTTTGTTCTGCTCCTTAATTTCTCTTTACTGTTTTCTGGTAGTCTGGGATTGTATCACTTACAAGAAACTCTCTTCAGGCAGTTAAAACTTTCTGTAAGAAACCAAACCAAACCAAACCGCAACAGCACCAATATCAAAAAGCAAACAAAAAAGACTCTGGGCAGCCTAAAAATCCACCACATGATCAGAAGTTATGTCAAAGGCCTGCTGCAAACACAACTGAGTATTTTTTGGGAGTATCCACTATATTTTAGTGTGCAGTGCCACCCTATGACAAAGACAGGTAGGCAGGATGTCAGCAGGTGAGAGGCAAAACCAGGCCTTTTTGTCATTGCACATGTACACAGCAAAGATGTACAGAGTCTCTTCTATGCTTTTCTACCACACCAGTGCCTGATTCTATAATTCTGACTGTTAACTTAGTCTTGCTGGAAAAGAGCTCTAAATTTAAATAAACCACTTGCTGAAAGCTGTTTGATACAACAAAAAATATGCAAAATCAACTCACAGAATTAGGTAATATTTGGTAAAATTTTAATGTTCTTTTTTTTTTAATCAAAATCTCTCATATTTAAAAATGCTTCCAAATCATGGAAAGGTCTTCATTATCTATTTATCCCTTAAAAAAGAAGAGACCTTCCATCCAGAGCAGTTCCTGACCATGACTGAAAGGTCTGTGAGTGGAAGACAGGAATAGATGGACTCACAACTCACCTGGAAAATGTTTTCCACAGGTCCTGGAGGTTGATCTGCCAGGTGTTCCTTTGGAAAGCTCTGGTGTTACACTTCCTCTCCAGTCTCTGCTGCTGTCCCCCACAGCTCTTGTGTCATTGTTCCCCTGCACGAGGTGATTTCCCTCTGTTTTGCCATTGGAAAGGACTGTGAGCTTCCCAGGCAGATGGAGACAGGACTGGCTAGATTCTGTCAGCTTTTTCAGAAGGGAATTTGGTCTAATCCTAATGGCCTCTCCAGCAGCAAGGACTGCTTCCATGCTCCCTGTTGCCAGGGAATACTTGGCAGCAAGTGAAGGAGAGGAAGTGAAATGATGTTTGCAGCAGGCACAGGTGTGTCTGGGCTGGCTGTACACAGAGTGTCCTTGGAATCACAGAATCATTCAGGTCGGAGGAGCCTTCTGAGATCACAGTGCCTGGCAGCGCCAAGGCCACCACTGCCCCATGTCCCCAAGCACTACATCTACACGTCTTTAAATCACTCCTAAAATCATACACTTTACAGGACATTTCCCAGAACAAAGCTGCCAGCAAATAGGACTCTGGCTGCCATTGAAGCCCCAAATGTCACCTCTTACATGACCCCAGGACACTGGGGAACAATCTGTTTTTCCTATGGAAAGTGGTCACTAACCATGTCCAGTCGCACCTTGGCAGTAGTGGGGTGCCGCCTCCTAAAACTGCAGTCATCATAGGATTTATCCAAGACAAAAGCTCCTAGCACCTAGGACTCTGACTGCCCTTGGAGCCTCACATGCCACCACTGACCTGACCCCAGAACACTGGGGAACAAATTCTTTTTCCTATGGAGAATGGCCATTGTTTGCATCCTGGACAACATTGGGGTGCAGCCTCCTAAAATCGCAAATCTCGCACAGGTTCTCCAAGACAAAAGGTGCTTCCAACTGGCAGACTAACTACTCTTGGAGCCCAAAATGCCACCTCTTACTTGACCCCAGGACACTGGGGGAACAAGTTTTTTCCCTATGGAAAATGGCAATTATTCATGTCCAGTTGTGTCTTGGACCAGAGGGGTGCCACCTCCTAACATTGTAGGATTTCTCCAAGGCAAAAGCTGCTAGCAACAAGGACTCTGCCCTTGGAGCCACAAATGCCACCTCTGAGCTGACCCTGAGACACTGGGGGAACAAGGTTTTTTTCCCACGAAAATATTCACCATTCACATCCAGACACTTTGGCCTAATGGGAGGTGCTGCCCCCTAAATTCACAATTGTTTCAGGATTTTTTTCCAGAACAAAGCTGCCAGCAATTAAGATGATGTTTGCCCTTGGAGCCCCAAACACCTTCTTTGAGCTGACCCTGAAACACTGGGGGAATGAGGGGTTTTTTTCCCATGGAAAATACCCACTGTTCTCATTGAGTCTTACTGGCTGACAGTGGGCTGCTGCCTCCTAAATTTGCCTATTTCACAGGATTTTTCTGAAGCCAAAGATGCCAGCAACTAGAATTCTCACTGCCCTTGGAGCTTCAAAGACACCTCTCACCTGACCCCGAGACACTGGGGGTATGAGGTTTTTTCCCCATGAAAATTGGCCACCATTCTGGTCCAGTTCCATGTGGCCTTATCACAGCTCCGCTCAAAAACATGAATTGGCGGCTGCATGTGGATACTTGCAGGAAGGTACAGGCAACTTTGGAAAGCTTTAATTCCTGCTTTTCTGAGGTCCCATCATGGATAATGAGCTTTTTAGAAATCTCTTCAATCGCATATTAGAACCCGAGTAAGAAATTTGAATGTAACCTTTTTTTTCCTTTGGTCTCACAGCCTGAATTTTAACAGGATAGACACGTCCCTCTCCTTGGAAGACAACCTCTGCCTTCCCCAGCTTTTGGTGACCACTGTCTCCATCCTCCCACACATGCTCAAATCCCTCCTCAGCATGGTTGGCTTCTTCATCCTGTGGAGCAAACACAGGGACAGTCACCTGTCGCTATCGAGGCAGGACGGGAATGAATAGACTTGACTCAGAAGGCTGGTTTATTCAAAATACACTGCTCTTTTATACAGAGCTTCATAAGAACCAAATCCATTGGTTCTGAAGTGAAAACAACCCAAAGCATTGATGCAAAGTGCTTGATGCACAGTGGTAGAACTTAACTATAAACAATGTGAAAAACAAGAGAGATAAAGAATTATTTACATTCTTTCCCAGCTCTTTCCCAGGCTCTTTGCCTGGCTAGAAACTATCAGTTTCTTTCTTCGACTGAATCTGAGACCCACAGTCACCAACCTGCTCATCCTAAACCTGGCCAGCACAGACAGACTGGTGAGACCCTCTGGATGGTCACCCCTATGCTGGGCACTGAAACAGGGCATTGAAAATTTAACTTGGAGTAGAAACCAATTTTGGATTTAGCTGGAATCTGCTTGTTTGGTCTATTAACTTGTGTGCTCACAAAAAGGCCTGCAGAGAGAACAAAGGAGATTCAAGGTTGCCTAAAAAGGAATGCAAGCATCCAAGATGAAGAGAAATAAGAAAAGGCCCCACCAACCTTGAGGCTGAAGCAGATGGAAAAACTGAATCTGGATTACAAACACTACATTACAACCACGTGACTGAAGAAGAGCACAGACTCATAAAAATTAATAAGACATTTTAATACATATGCATATATGTTTTATGTATATGCAACAGGTTAGGGGATAAAGTAGACTCAGAAATTTTCAGGGGTACACGTGTCCCTGGGGAACATGCATCCAGCGCTGAAATAAATCATACTGGCTTTACAACCTTTGCAAGTTGCAGAGATTTTTCTGCAAAAAATTTGTGGAGAGCCAGCCAGGAGAGTCTCTGTCCCTGCAGGAGCAAGGCAGGGGGTGAACCTCCTAGGCACACCCCAGGATCTTCCCTGGAGGAGCTCCATGCTTCAGCTTGCCCCCTCAGACAGCGTGAAAATTTAACAGGATAGAAATCCATTTGGATTTAGGTGAAATGTGCCGCTTTGAGCTTGCTAACATAAGTAAAATACGCTGTTTAGTCTGGTAACTGCAGCACTAGCAAAATTGCCCCAGCTGAGGAGAAAATGCAAGTTTCCAAGCTAAAGAGATAAGGAATACTTCTTGGATCTTGAAACAGACAGCGCAGAGTGACCCAGGAGTTCTTTCTGTACTTTCTGACAAAAAATGAGCACAAGTGTAACTAGCTGTAAGTGAAACATGAAATCAGCAGAATGAATATGCATGAACCTATTGTGAAAATCTATGCATATGTAAATTAGTTAAGGGTAATAAAAAAAGACCAGAATTCTCAGGGGCATGCATGTCCTCTGAAGGGGAAAGATCTCTCACATGTGTCCAGTGCTGTAATAAACATACAATCCATACAAATCATTATAGGAATTGCGGGGTTTTGATTTTCTGTCTGCATTTCACCCCTGTGGAGACAAACAATGACCTGTGGTGTGCAGATAACACAGTATGTGTCCTTAGAAGGGCCTTGTGGGGGAAAGCAATAGGGCTCTTCAGAGACCTGAGTGCACAGCCTCATCCCTGTGTGAGTAAAAGTTTGAGGTTTTGCTGGCAGAGGGGTCCCCTGGTCGATAGAGTGACTGGGGAGGGGTTCACTGCTCAATTGCACAATTGCTAGCAGCTCTGGGGGTGAGCTGAATGAATCTGGACCTTATTGCTACCACTGTGTGCTTGCAGTGTCCGGACATTGTTAGTGTGGTTTGTAATTGTGTGTGTGAGTGGCTTGGTGGACTCGGCTGTATGAACAGGGGAGCAAGTGAGTGAGGGTACCCATGGCGTGGGAGGGGAGGCTCTACCCGTGGCTGAGGAGGAGCAGAGCAAGTGGAGAAGCGTAGGTGAGGACACCTAGCATGTTGTGTGCTTGTGTACATCGTGCATGTTGTAACCGTGGCTAGATGAACTGAGCGGATTCTGCTGCCTCAGTGGTTCAGGCTTGACTGCTGGGAGTTTGTGAGTCCAGTAAATCACTGGATCCAGTTAATAACTTTACTGTGTGCTGTTATTTTTATTGTATCCACAGTGTGTGAAGGCCACAGGGAGCTGATGTGGGTGGATGCTGAACTGTTGTATGCTGTGTTGTGTTGAGAAAAGTGGACACTTTAAGAGACACCCCCTTCCCAGTGAGTTTGTGTGTGAACTTTCTAGTTGCAGGGAACAGTATTCCCTGTGACGCCTGGTGTTTGAGTATAACCAGTCTCTCGTCAATGCTTTGTTTTCAGGTATTAATTGATCTTTTACCTGCAAGACTTAAGAGGCAAGGGATGGGCACTGTAACACAATACCTTGTGATCCTTCTCCTCGTAGAGTTTGTGAAGTTACTCTGTTAGAGCTGTAAAAGAGACAGCTTGTTATAGTTGACTCTTGTAAATTTAAGATTTAGGAGGTTTGTGTAGTTCTTCCCTCACATTGTGGTAATTTGATTCTCGGGACTGTATAGTTATGTTTGTGGAGATTTTAGGCTTTTGTTTACAACAAGCGTAGCATTTTATACAGAAAAACTACAGTATGGTGATTGATATATAACTGCAGTAAACTGAATTGAAGGAATTCCAGGAATTCCCCTCCCACAGCAACTTAAGCCTTGACTCTCATGAATTTGAGATTAGTGGCTGTCAGAGACTACTCTGAGGCAGTAAAATTTTTCCCCTTGTGCCCATAAACCCAGAGAAATCACGGCTGCCCCATCCCTGGAAATGTCCAAAGCCAGACTGGATGGGGCTTGGAGCACCCTGGGCTAGTGGATGGAATGGCAAGGGATGAAATGAAGTGATCCTTAAAGGTCCCTTCCCACTCAAACCATTCCTCAGTTCCAGGAAGATTCCATGATCTCTCCCTGTATTTATTTTGCATTGTTTCCTTTCAAATCTGAATTCCCAAATTTAAATGATTTTTTAAAGGAATACTTAAAAATTATTCCAGGAATATGAAGGGGGGCATCAAACATACAGGACTCATTCCTACACCCATCAAATCATTATTAATTTGAAGCCTATTCCCTCATTTCTGTCCTTTTTTTCCTTTCCTGAAAAACCTTATGATCCCATAGTTTCTACTGGGATTACTGGAAGATCTGCTCTGTCAGAGAGCCAGGAGGGTTTACAAAACTTTTTCCTCTGCATTTTTATCCTTTAACCATCCTTCTCCCAGAATGGTGTTGTGGGAGAAGTTTGTAATTACTAGAAATGGATCAGGGTCACCTTTTTTCCTCACTCTTTTCCAGCTATTTCCAAATTCTTGGAATTACCCTCAAATGAGGCCTAGAAAACTACTATGAAAACATCAATCAGAGGAACATATTGAAAAGCGAAAACAA